CTCAACTTGGATACGATGTCTTGTGTCAACCAAGCCAGCAAACCTGACCATCCGATCACGTTAGTCGCATCTTACGACAGGCATGGGTTGCTGGCGACCCGGGTTACTCAATGTTAAAGTTCTTAGCGTCACTGGCATTTAAGCCAGACTGTCAGTCGATTGAAACTATAACTTAACGCCTGACATGTGTTTCCAGTATGTCTATTATGACATATATTGTAGTGATGTGTCAACACTTATACAGTGTTATGTTGTGCATATGCTGTGCATACGTGGTTTGTCAAATAGTTCTTGGTATTGCCATGTTATGCGGTTTGTGGAGTGTCATATGATGTTAGTGGTGTCTCATGAGGCCTATTGTTGTGTTCAGTAAATTGTGTGTGGTATGGAATGTGGTATTGGTCAAGATGGACATCGTGTGATTGATGCCAAGTGTTAATTTGTATGCGTCTGTATGTCATGAGCTATTGTGCTTGTAATGTGTGTGGTTTGAAATGTTGCAAGTGAAGAGTCACGTGGTGTAGTGCATCATGGTCTGCCGTTTTTGTATGGTGTCTCTGATGACGCTGTGAGTGTCATGTGCTAAATCACGTATGATTGAGTGAGTGAGTTAGTGCCTCATGTTTACGTCTCTTTTAGCAAACTTCCATACATGCCCCTCCTGCCGTACAGCACACACCACATGACGCCATCTGACACATCACTTCACACATGACATGACATGGCATGACATTGGAGTGAGTGAGCTAGTGGGTATGGTTTTACGCCTCTTTTAGCAATATTCCAGCAATATCATTGCGGGGAACATCATAAATGGGCTTCACACATTGTACCCATGTTGGGACGCGAACTCGGGTCTTCGGCATGACGAGCGAACGCTTTAACCACTAGGCTGCATCCCCGCCCGTATCATGTTTTGTCATGTGGGATGCTCGATTCACGTAATGTGATGTGTAATGCATCTGTATTGCATATGTGGTAAGGCATATGCTTGTCATGTGGTGTGTGATGTGGCGTGTTTGATGCACGTTGTGTGTCGTGGTGTGAATGGTATATGGTGTAGAGTGTCATATGCGGTGTGGTGGTGGTGGGTTGTGTTGTACATGTGGAGTGGTGTGTGGTGCGGTGTGGTGTGTGGTGTGTGGTGCGGTGCATGGTGTGGTGTCGTGGTGTGGTATGTGTGGTGTGTGATATGGTGTGTGTGTGGTGTAGTAGTAATAATAATAATTCACTTGTATGGCGCCTGGTATCCATCTGTCTAGTTGCTCACTGGCGCATATGTAGGAGTCAGTAGAGTGAAAGGGGAATATTGTTAAATATTGTAAGCAGTTCTGAACAGAAAAGTTTTGATTAGGCTTTTAAAAGAGGATTCACAGATGGTGGCTTTGAGTTCTGATGGTAAAGTATTCCATAATTGAGGTGCAACAGTGGAGAAGGCTCTGCTATCCATTTTGCTTGTGGATACTGGTTGAGAAAATAGGAACTGATCAGTGGAGCGTAGAGGTCTCGATGGCTTGTAGATATTGATGAGTTCTTTAAGATAGAGAGGCCTGTTTTCCATGTAGAGGGATCGATGAGTCAGTAACAGGATTTTATAGGAGATACGCTGTTGAACTGGCAACCAATGGAGAGATTCCAGAGCTGGAGTGATGTGGTCAGTGCGTCGCTTGCGTGTAATCAATCTTGCAGCAGAGTTTTGTACTCTTTGCAGACGTGATAGTATCTTTTTAAGGAGGATGACAAGAAGAGAGTTGCAGCAGTCGAGGCGGCTGATGATAAGAGTTTGCACAAGAAGTTTGATGACGTCCAAGATCATGAGATATCGGATATTTCCAATATTGTGCTTATGGAAATAGCAGCTTCTGCACACAGAGCTGACATACTCTTCCATGGTCATGGTTGACGGGAAAATAACTCCAGATTTCTGGCCTTGGGGGTGTCACTGACAGAACATGCTCCAACATTAAAAGAAGGCTTAGGGTTCAGTTTTGCAAGCTGATGGCGAGTGCCCAGTGTCAGGAACTCTGTTTTCTCATCTTTGAGTTTCAGGTAGTTAGAACTCATCCATGACCGGATATCTACAAGGCAGGCTTCAACTGTTTGGATGGCAGCAAGTGTTTCCTACAGCAGCTGGGGCAAGTGAGAGGTACAGTTGATTGTCGTCAGCATAAAGATGGAAGTGCAGTGAATGGGTCATGATGATCTGACCAAGAGGCACGATATATTCACTAAATAGCAGTGGACCCAGAACAGATCCTACGTGTAGTGGGGACGTGTAGTGTGGTATGTGTGATGTGGTGTGGTGTGGTTGTGGTGTGGTGTGGTGTGGTGTGGTGTGTGGTGTGGTGTGGTGTGGTGTGTGTGGTGTGGTGTGGTATGTGTGATGTGGCGACGTGGTGCGTGGTGTGGTGACGTGGTGTGGTGTATTGTGTGGCGTGGTGTGTGTAGTGTTGTGGTATGGTGTGGTGTGTGGTGTAGGTTGTGTGGTGTGTCTAATGTGTAGCGCTGAGTGCCATGTGGTGTGTTTGGTTTGTGATGTGTGTGAGATTGTCATGTTGTGCAAGTAGTGTGGTGCATTATGACTCATGGCATGAAGAGTGCGTGGTTGGTCATGCTGTATGTGCTAGAGGCCGAGTGGGTTGTGTCATGGCATATCCAGCGTGGCATGCGACGTGCGTGGTGTGGTGTTTCCGTGACACATGTGGCGTGTGTGTTTGACTGCTGAATTGTGTGTGTCGATTTACACATAGCGCTGCCTTCAACAACATTTTTCTGGTAATTGTCAAAATAGCACCGTTCTAGTTACATACATACATACATACATACATACATACACACACACACACACACACACACACACACACACACACTCACACACACACACACACACACACATACATACATACATACATACATACATACATACATACATACATACATACATACATACATACATACATACATACGAGAAACATATTTAGATATTCATAACTTATTTACTTTAAAGTGTCTACGCTCGTGGTATGTTACATCTCACGTTGTGTCAACGTGGGCTTGATGAATGATGTAAGGGAGACAACTCGTACAGGAATACAGCCGGATGCATGTACGCATGTATCACCTCTGTGCGGATTTGTTAATGATTATATTAGATGTTTGGTGTATTGTTGTGAGGGTGAGTGAGTGGGTGGGTGAGTGAGTGAGTGAGTTTGGTTTAAGCGTTGTGGCGTTGTGTGTGGTGTGGTGTGTTGTGTTGTGGTGTGTGGTGTGATGTGGTGGAGTGACATGGTGTGGTGTGTTGTATTGTGTTGGGGTGCGTGGTGGTGTGGTGTGGTGCCTTGTATGTGGGCTGTTTTGTGTTGTGGTATGGTGTGGTTTGAAGTTGAGTTGAGTTGAGTTGAGCTTTACGTCACATCGGCATTATTCCAGCCATATAGTGACGATGGTATGGTGTGGTCTGTGGTGGTGTGGTGTTTCAGTGGTGGTATGGTGTAGGGTGTGTCGTGTGGTGTGTAGTGTAATGTAGTATAGAGTGTGTGGTGTGCCTGTGGTGATGTGGTTTGGTGTGTCTGTGGTGGTGTGGTGTTTTGTGGTGTGATCTGGTGTGTGGTGTGTTGTGGTGTGGTGTGTAGCGTGGCGTGGCTTTTGGCGTGGCGTGGTGTGCTGTGTCTAATGTGTAGCGCTGAATGCCATGTGGTGTGTTTGGTTTGGGATGTGTGTGCGATTGTCATATGGTGCAAGTAATGTGGTGCATTATGACCCATGGCATGAAGAGTGCATGGTTTGTCATATTGTATGCTGGGTGGGTTGTGTCAAGGCATATCCAGCGTGGCATGCGGAGTGCACGGTGTGGTGTGTGTGTGACTCAAGTGGCGTGTGTGTTTGACTGTTAAATTGTGTGTGTCGATTTACACATAGCGCTGCCTTCAACAAAATCGATCTTCAACATTTTTCTGGTAATTTTTAAGATAGCACCGTTCTAGTTAGTTCTTGATGGTCGGTGAATTATGCACATTGACTTAAGGGATCTATTTTGCCTTCCTCATTGTGGGCTGTGTCAAACTACGAGAAACATATTTAGATATTTAGAACTTATCTAGTTTAAAGTGTCAACGCGCGTGGTATGTTACATATCACCTTTTGTCAACACGGGTTGGATGAATGATGCAAGGGAGGCAACTCGTACAGGAATACAACCGATGCATGTACGCATGTATCACCTCTGTGCGGATTTGTTAATGATTATATTAGATGTTTGGAGTATTGTTGTGAGGGTGAATGAAAGAGTGAGTGAGTTGGTGTGAGTGAGTGAGTGAGTTTGGTTTAAGCCGCTTTTAGCAATATTCCAGCAATATCACGGCGGGTGACACCTGAAATGGGCTTCTCACATTGTACCCATGTAGGCAATCGAACCTGGGTCCTCGACGTGACGAGTTGTTGTCGGGGAGATTTGCGTTGGTGGGGGTGATAAGTTATTTTTTAATCTTTTACATTCTTTGCAGCCCTGAACGTGCTTGAAAACTGTCGGTGTAAAGATGCCACAAACGATGGACGGGAACAACTGTTTTTTTCTCCAATCCTCTTCTGGCACGTCCTCCAAGGTTTTCGAAAAGTCCAGCTTGATCCGGATTAAGGAAAGCTTTTTCTCCATAGCAATAGTAAGTTATTCAAGGTTAACCAAATTAAATGCAACAGGTTACACGAAAGCATTCAATGATGGAATTAATGTACTTTTTCATTCCTTAATTACAGTTGTCACTCAAAAACAAAGTCAAATTGTTGTGACATGTTCATTAACACATTCAGATGTTGAACAGGCAGGAATCACTGTCACCAGACTGACTGATTTCAGGCCTTTCCATTGTCAAATGTGAGATCTTTCCTATCAACCTTCCATTGGACACTAATTTACACATTCATCGCTCAATGGTGGTTACCTAACATTTGGATATGTTCAGAACACATTACCACATTATTTACTAAAACATTATTAATCATCATTTAAATTCCACTGAGATGAATTGCCCAAGACATGGATGTTGCATTTTGTGAAATGCTATTACCTTCCAGAAATAGCACAGTAAATATAAGAACGAACATATAAATATTAAATGTTAATAGAAGCGACAAAACCCTTTCCACATTCATAAGAAATATCTGCTGAAAGCAGAGTCGATTGTACAATTATGACTATATCATGAGTATATTATTGTTTCAACAATAATACAACGGTGTTGTTTGTAACCAAATCTGGATCAAACAATCCAGTGATTGTCACCATGCGATAAAAATTCGACCACCTAAACTAAAACAATCTCTTGGTACTTGTGTGAATAGTGTATATATAGCTAAAATATTAAACAACACTAACTGTAGAGGAATATAACATAGTTATGGAATATTCAAAGACATTTACAGCTCTATCTCTATTATATTATTAGATGCAGATATCGAAACTATGAAACCGTTTGCAAAAGTTAGCTGACTAAGGCTATAAGTAAACTCGTGACAATGTTTCCAACATGCCTACTATCACATGTACTTTAGTGATGCCTCGACACTGATATATGGCTCTGTGTCTCTCGTTACCGTATGCTTTGAGTATATCCAATAGTGTATGTGGTATAGAATGAGGTAAGTGCCTATCGGCATGTCGTGTGGTTGATCACATGTGTCATTTTGTATGCGCCGAACTGATTTGTACAGCATGTGAACCTTCGCGGCATGTATCGTGTCACATTGTGTCAATATCGTTCAGGTGAATGGTGCAAGGGAGGCAACTCGTATACAAATAAAGCCGAATACATGTACTGTCACTTCTGTTAGAACGTTTTAACGTTTTATTTGGAGTATTGATGACAGTGGTTCCTTCTCTAATTTGATAGTTCGTTTTAATAGTATTAATGTTTGTAATCATAGTGCAGCTTTTGAATACAAAGCGTACCATTGATGGAATCTATTTCTAATGTAACTACAATATTTGTCTGTGAAATCATTCGAAGATGTTCATGTTGATATTCTGATATTAAACAGGTAGGAAGTAGAGTATGGCAAGAGAAGGGAGAGTATCCCAAATCAATGTATGCCACAATGCTATGACTGTCAAGCACCTTCTTTTTGATTTTTCAGTCATTCGACAACGTTTTTATACTGCTCAAACAATTGCTTCATACCGTTTCTATTTTAATTGTTGCATATCTGAAGGAAATTGAATTAGATGTATATGATAAGATATAGATTTTAAAATTTTGAATGTAAGTGTTTCACTGTTTACTCTGATAATAGACTGAAATGTAATGGATCCTCGTCATCGCTTTCATTATAGTTTCCTTTCTAAGGAAAATATTGGATCTTTAGCCGCGAGTGAGTGAGTTTAGTTTTTCGCCACACTCAGCAATATTCCAGCTTTATGGCGGCGGTTTGTAAATAATCGAGTCTGGACCAGACAATCCAGTGATCAACAGCATGAGCATCGATCTGCGCAACTGGGAACCGATGACATGTGTCAACCAAGTCAGCGAGCCTGGTCACCCGATCCCGTTAGTCGCCTCCTACGACAAGTATGGGTTACTGAAGATCAGTTGTAACCCGGACCTTCACGGGTCTTTTTAGCCGCGGACAACTGAGGTATTGATGGTGCGGCTTAAGCAACATTTACTCTCTCACTCACTCACTCATTCACTCACTATGTATGAATCACTGCAGTTTGATACATTATTAAGTTTTATAAGTACTTATATTTCAGCCCGACAACATGGCCCATACATGGCCTATACTCTTAATGCATAGCAGATAAAAAAATTCCAACATGTCTATTGTCTCATGTCATTTAGTGATGTGTCAATACATATGTGAAATGTACACGTCAGAATGTGCTTCCTGGTTTTACGTCAGTACGATTGAATATCAACATGTAACAATAGCTAAGTCCATTAATCATGTTCCTTATTTAGAATCGTGGTGTAATGTATCCCAGTGATATAACATAAATAATGCATAACATGGGCAGCCAGGGCATATCAAACACAGTCGAACAGCTGCTGCTCTACGTGTACAACAATTAAGATGGAGAGGGAGAGAGGGGGCAAGAGAAAGAGGGAGAAAGAGAAAGAGGGAGAAAGAGAGAGAACGAGATAGTGGGAGAGAAAAGAGAGGGAGTGAGAGAAAGAGGGAGAGAGAAAGAGAGAGAGTGTGTGTGTGTGTGTGTGTGTGTGAAAGAGAGAGAGGGGGCGGAGAGGCGCACTCATGCAGACACAAAGGATGTGATTATTCGTTTCGGAAAACATGTTTAGTATAAACTCAGTGATCTTTACTAACCATCTCTAGCTATAGCCCGCTGGAGATTGTCAACTATAACTCAGATTATTGTAACTGACTGGGAGTTTGTCTTCAGCTGCCGGTGTGAAATGAGTCATTACCTATCTGTATGGCCGCAGTACTCATGTATTTCAATATGCTTTTTCAGTCATCTGTATCATAAGCATACAACGTAATTGGAGAGTGTTTATATTGGACGAACATTGCCATGTGAAACGGGACAAACCACGTCAAGTGTAATTGAAAAGTTTTTGAATGTCTCTCAATCGTAGTTCAATAGAAACGCAGAAGTTATTCAGGGCTGATTTAGTCTTGTCGTGTCCCACGCCTTGTGATGACTCCAGCATTATGTGTTTTAACAAATGGATTCTTTTGGACTTTTCACACTGTGATATGTAACACGTAAACAGTTTTGTATATGGTGTTTCCAATACAAGATAAGAGCAGAAAAACAGTTCAAAATGACCTTTTCATTGCAACCTCTTGTTAGTTAGTTTGGAACACTCACTGTTTACACGTTGTGTTGTGGCAACTGCAACCAGCTGACGGCCCCTTTTTTTCCCTCTATCATATTGTGCATGGTGTTTAGGAAAACCATGCTCGCAGGTGTTGTGCCCTCGTTTTGTGCATTGCGCAGTTGTTATTTCCATACTCATTCACTCCATGTATTATCTGTGTTTACGTGACAAGTGGAGCCTCGATATACGGGTCGATTGTCCTACATTACACGAGAGCTAGACTAACTATGTTGAATACATGTGGAGTTTTTGCACTGGGCGTAAACGTAATTCATAATGTGAGCCAAACTTGAACAATTAGAAGTGCGTTAATATAACACTTTGCAGATTGCAATATCAGACCCGGAACTGACCTGGAACGAGTAAATGCATACATGTATATCCACCTGAGACATAATGAACGTTTGTGTTTGTTGGTACCTGACACTATTCGACTTATCTGACGACGTCTTGTAAATGATACAGCCTCGACCTCACTATCAAGTGATTTTGTACGGAACGGTCAACATAGAGGTATTGTGTCATCCAATTAACTTTGCAACCCAAACCACTGAGTCGTTACTAACGACCAAGTTCCCTTTTTAAATAAAGAAATCCAAACTCGGTATCACACAGTGCTATTTTCCCTTGGTGAGGTATAAATGAATATGAAAGACCGATTGATGCTTGTTCAATTGTTCAGTAAGATGTGATATAAGGAAACATGGTCCTCATGATTTCCCAATGTCAGTTGTCATGCATGATTATTCATGAAGGATTGTGTTGTACATTACTTCAGCTGGCAATATTAAAGAACTGAAGTTATTGAAGAACCCAATAACTACAATTATGTAATAAATGCAAACGAGTATAATAAAAACGTAAGTTATATTGTTTTGATTATTTGTAGTATAGTTTTATTCAGCAGATGTTAAAAATATTACAATAGTATATTATGCATCATATATTATGAAACAACCTTTCTACAACTTTAAACAGTAATAAATACAGTACGTTCATAACGAACATGCTATAACGAACTGACGAATATAACGAACTGATTGTTCTACTCACTGGCTGAATACTTCAGGTGAAAACGAAACCTAGCTCTCCCTTTGTGTTCATTATTTCCTAGTAATCACCTAATGCGAATAAATACTCCTTCATGAATTACCATGTACAGTTTATCAGCATGGAAAGGAAGTCTTCTGTCCTCGTGCGTTTGTTGAATTCATTTCGGCGTGACAAGTCTATGGCTTCAGCGCTTGACAACGCCGTCTAACTTAACATTTGCTCGAAAACAGCGGTTATTACGAACTCACAGCGACTACGAATTTCAATTCGTTTTACATGAAGTTATATATACATATCAACTACAACACACAGCAAGGGGCTGGTACAAAAGGCGTTATATCCGTTAGTTCGTTATAAGAGTGTTCGATATAAACAAGATTTACTGTACTGGAAATGGAAAGCTCATTGAATTAATGTTATAGTAGATGGACAAATTGCTAATGTCCATTATATATAATAATTCACTAAAACGTAAAGGACAATTTGAACACGTGGGACAATAAAATATAACTACATGAAACTTAATAATGATTTGCATTAGACGTCGCATCAGCCTTGTTTCGGCAACCCATGGGCGGAGGCAAATTATGGGATTTAACATATATCGGAACATCAAATCTATATTCAAAAGTAATCTGTGAAATATGCTTAATATGCTACTCTCAAACAAGAATGGACGTAATAACAATAAATTTGAGTAACTGAAATGCCTTTTGGAAGACGATACTACCGTTTGGTGAGGTGAAAACTAGCTCAAACAAAACTATGTGATGTGCTCCTGACACACTACATACACTGGAACATACACAATCTTCTGATGTTAGCAGCAATACATTACATCCAAGCAAATTACTAAGTACAGTAAACATTTTTAAATAAACTCACAGAAAACACATGCCAATAATAGAAACTGAGCATGTGTAAAAAGTCATGTATTATATTAAAAGTTTAACTAGTGATTAGTGGTGTATGCCTGTATGTGTTTTACGAACTAGAATTTCAGCAGTTTGTCTCCGTTTATCTTGATTTGCTTTTGGTGTGAGTATAGACTAACAACTATGAGAAATGAGACCACGTTTTCGAGACTTGCGTGGGCTTTCTTGGATATGTTTGCTTCAGGGAC